TGGATAGGTGCGTACCATGGAGGGCGGGTGGGGTGGGGGGTGGGGTAGGGCAGTAAGCTTTCGTAGATGTTTGGAGGGGGTGGGGCAGGCTTATGTGGATAGTTGCGTAGGCGGGCGGGTTGGGGGGTGGGGGGTGGGGCAGTAAGGTTTCGTATATGGTTGCGCGGACCAATGCTTTCCTGTGGGTTGGGGGGGAGGGGGGTGGGGGTGGGGCAGGGGCATTAAGCTTATGTGGATAGTTGCGTACCATGGAGGGCGGGTGGGGTGTGGGGGGTGTTGGGGCGCTTGTGAGAAAATCCGTTCAGAGCAGTTTTCCTGGCATTGCCAAAGAGATACACGCACTGGAGAGAGATTCCAGTCCCGCAGTTTCCGAATACAGCCGTCGAGTTTCCGAATACGAGTTTCCGAATACAACCGTCGAGTTTCCGAATCCAAGCGGTCAGTTTCCGAATACAACCGTGGAGTTTCCGAATACAACCGTCTCAGTTTCCGAATACCAGTTTCCGAATACAACCGTGTAGTTTCCGAATACTAGTTTCCAAATACAACCGTGCAGTTTCCGAATACCACCCTTCCAGTTTCCGAATACAACCGCTTCAGTTTCCGAATACCAGTTTCCGAATACAACCGCGCAGTTTCCGAATCCCAGTTTCCGAATACAACCGTTCCAGTTTCCGAATACAACCGCCGAGTTTCCGAATACAACCGTGGAGTTTCCGAATACAACCGCCGAGTTCCCGAATACAACCGTCCAGTTTCCGAATACAACCGCGACCTGCCGGTGCTGGGTGGTGCCGGTGCTGTGAGCTGGCAGTGCACGTTGTGGAGACAGGGTGCCGGTGCTGGGTGGTGCTGGTGCTGTGAGCTGGCTGTGTGCGCGGTGGCAGGGTGCCGGTGCCGGTGCTGGGTGCTGGCTGTGCGCATCTGTGCACGCTTGGCTTTGCAGAGACATTGAGTCGGGGTGCCACTACTTACTTCCAGGGAAGCTGAGGGAATCAGCAATCAGAACATCATTTATTATCCAGTGTTTTCTCGAGATTCTTCTGTTCTTACACGTGACCTTTGGGTCCTTACAAGTTGTGTAGCTTGCATATGTGAGGGGGTCTGTTTTCGGATCTTTTTCCCCAGATAGCGACAGCTATGGGGTTCTGGACTTCACACAATAATGATCTGGCTGTGCGCGCTTTCGAGACAGGTGCTGGGTGCCGGTGCAGGGTGCTGGCTGTGCACGTGGTGGATGTGCACATACTTTTGCGCGCATCAACTTAAACAAACATGCTACAAAGTCAATGGATACTATATACTTGGCCTTGGGCCAGTGACACTTGCGGGCTTTGCTGTTTGCGCGCATACTTTTGTGCGCGTAAACTTATACGCACAAGATCATACGTTGTTATTCTATGTTATTCCCCAGATAGCCATAGCTATGGGTTCTTACTTCAAATAAGAATGGGCTGGCTTCGCACGCTTTCGAGAGGATGTCGGTGCCGGGTGAGCTGGCTGAGCACGCGTTTGAGACGGGCGGCGGCACTGGTCGGGTGCTGGTACCGCTGCCGGCGTTGTCAGCTGGCAATGCGCACTGTCGAGACAGGGTACCGGTGCTGGTGTCAGCTGGTTGTGCGCGCTGCATGTACATTGTACAGCCTTGTTCCAGCCAGCCGCATGTCATGCGATTCTGCCTAGCTATCTGGGTCTATGCTGGTGTTTTTTTGTTGGGGGGGTTGCCCGTTTGCTCATGTTTTCTTCTGGGAGGAGGTTTCCGGCACCGTCTTGAAGCCTGCGGATGTGGTTTGCTGTGGTGGCGTGGTAACCCCGGAAGCACCACTCCTCTCACTGGGCGGTCGACCGCCACCCCCCACCTTTATTAGCTTTGACATGGAGAACGTCAAGTCGGCTATGACATGGCCACTTCAGGGTCGATCCGAGTTCCCGCCCTCTGGGATTCGAGGTATTTTTGGGGCGAGAACCATCATGGCCAGTGTGCTCGCGATCCGAAAGGCTGGGGTGGGAGATGGTCGTGCCATCGTTCCAAAGGAGTGGGAAAACCCGTGCCCTCAAAAAGGTGACCAGATCATGGAAACCCACATAGCCCCCCTCCATATTGGGCACCTTCAGAACATGGAACTCCACATATACAGGTGAAAGTGGTCGACATCAACATTGCTTGAGGCTTGAAATGGGAAAACATACCTCAGTTCCATGCCTTTTGCGTACCTTTTTCAATCTTTGGACTTTGCTTTGGTCTGTGTTCCATGCCTTCCCTGGCCGGGTCGGCCGCAGCCGGACGGTGGCCCCTTGATCGCCTTGGGTTTGAACAGCTGTACCAGCTGTACCCTCTTTTTTCCGAAGAGGTCCTGGAAGATGGCCATTTTGAGGTTTAGCCTGCCATGGCGTCATTTCGTTGTAGGTGGTAGAGGAGTGAAGAGGTCGAGGTGGTGAAGAGGGCTTTCTGAGTTGATTTCTGCTTCCATCAAAAGGTGCGGACCTCTACAAGTCTCCATTTCACAAAGCTTCTTCCAGGCGATACCGCCCGGTCGCAGGCGCTGGCCAGTGAGGGTGCAGCGGCAATGTCGTTCGTGGTGGGAGGAGTTTACTATAGACTGTATATGATCAATGTGGAAGTGTGGGGAATGACAGTGACTTTTTTGAAAAAATATATAAAGCAAAGCACTGCCAATTCCTCCGATGTGACCCACTTGGTAGGACACCATGATCAGAATGTCTTTGGCCGAACATTTGGGCAGTACCCACCCAGTGCGTTCCATGGATTTTCCAGTCATTCCAATCCCCTGTTTGGAGGCCCAACTGCTGGTCCGAGCACCTGCTCGCGCTGCTGGTGGCCTCCAAAACGTGCACGCATGGCGGGTGGCTTGTGGCAGGTGCGCTACCGACCATCTTTTGGGTAGGTTTGAAGTACAAGTTTAATTTGGTTTCTTCTGTATATATATATATATACATGCACATACATACATACATACATACATACATACATACATACAT